GGGGGGGGGGGGGGGGGGGAAATGTACGAGGTATCCAAAAGTTTCTGCCCTGAGGTATAAGGAAATGCGATAAGACTGTTTTAGCAAATTGTATTTTTTAGCATTACCTACCTGAACATCAGTACATGTCCGATTGATGGAACAGAACTTCAACTTTATTAGGAAAAAAAAACGTATTTCCCATGGTCAACTAAAAATGCTTGAACGGCTTCACTGAAATGACTTCATTGTCAGTTTCACCTTCGTGGTCGCTTCACAGCAAATTTTGTTTTAAAGTTATATTATTAAATGAGCTGTCTTATTGGGATAAATACATTTATACAAGATGAGTACTTAAATTAATAATACAAATTATTAAAAACAAAAAATTCTCCGTATTCAAGATTTTCCATTTTGAAATAGATAATATTTGGCTTGAGCACATCATATATATTCAATACAAGTTATTCTTAAAAATGTAAATGCACCTCGAACCAATTAACCCTTCAGATTGCCAAAAAGGACGAAGGAATTCGGACACATTCGGGCGTACAGGCGTACAACAAACGGCGCAAACTTGAAATGCTTAATCCATACTGAAACTTGATCTAAGCAAGCGATTAAAACCAGTAGATGATCGATCTCGATCCGGGTGGGCCTGCTGAAAAATGTGAAAACTTCCTCATTGCTTTCTTTCGACGGTGGAAAGTACCGTTTTCCGTGACAGAAGTGATTCGGACAGCGTTCTTCCCTTTTTTCTTTGCTGCCAATTCGTGAATTGATTCCTCGCGTCTACTTACACGTATCACCTTTACCTTTCCCCCCTGGCATTGGCCATAGACACGCGAAGAAGTCGCTCAGTAACTCTTACTCGGCACGAAAATTTTTTTTTTTTTAAGTGGAAATGGTACCTTTCCAGACCGACCAGAGCGACCCAGCATGGCCAAGACGACCCCAATTCAGGGTGTCTGCTCCACAAAATGCCAGAATGTTCTCTTTTTAACCGAGAGAATTTTTTTTCGCGAGCTGAAGAATTCTCAGGTGCGCTCGGCCCACGCCCGAAGGAAGGCAACGGAGGATGCCTCGGTCCGTCCACCTCCACCTCCCTTTTCCACCTTCCTCCTCGCCTCCACTCACCTCCCTTCTCCACCTTCCTCCTCCCTTGTCAACCTCCCGCCTCCGCTTCCCTCCCCATCCAGCCGTATGGAGGCCGAGAGGACACGTGGACCGAGCCGACGCCATTTCCCCACGTATTTAGCGACATCGGATCGATGATGGAGTATTAGGGAAATCTCGGGTCCACCAGGCAAACCACGCATCGACGACGATCGGATGCGGGAAACGAAGGCAACACGGGTTCCATCGACTTCACCTGCCGCTCGAGACATCGAATATCAATTCGCGTGCCGACCCGCAAGGAATTCGAAACGGCCCGTCACTCCGACGGATTCGTGGCCAGCCCCCACGGATCCGACCGCGACGAGACGCCCCCCATCCCGTGCCTTCCCGAGCGAGCCGGCCTTTCCCCCGAGACGTCCTCGGCGTCGAACTCCCTCCGCAGGGCGAAGCGCACCACCCGAAAGCGGAAATGCCTTCCCACGGCCCACACGCACGCGAAAGGCGAAAACGTACTTCTCGGGAACCTCTCTTCTCCTCCCTCCACCGACCGTCCGCACGTCGAACTGCAGGCGTCGACACGAACGGACGACCGACCCCACGATCGGATCGAAGGGACACGAACCCGGGCAACTCGGGGCTCTCGATCGCGATCCGTCACGACACGGCCTCGCGGGTCGACTCGAACTGTGCCGAAACGCAATAATAATTCCGGGGAGGATCGTGAATCGGATGCGGAGGGGGCTGGGGACGGCGACCGGCATTGATCGGATTCCAAAAGCATGCACCGTGCAAGACGTCCCCTTTACCCGTCCACCCCCCCTTTACCCGACTGCCCCCCTCGCATCGTGCCCCCTTGCCCGACTGCCCCCCTTGCACGATGCCCCCTTTCCGTCGGGAAACGGAATCCTTTCGTCGTTTTCGTCCTTCGGACGAGGCCAGACGCGGAACCGTGCAGATGAGATTTTAAGCGCTCATTCGCGTGCCCCCGCTCCCCCTTTCCCCCCCCCGATCGGCTCTCGCACATGTCCCACCCATTAGACGGGATCCATTAATTTAACGAGAGCGACCTTTTACCTTTTCGCCGAGGGCGTTGTATCGGATGGAGAGCTGGTCCCGCTCCGCCTTCACCTGCGACAGGAGGCTCTCCCGCGGCCACAACTCCTCCTCCTCCTCCTCTTCTTCTTCTTCTTCCTCTTCCTCTTCCTCCTCCTCCACTTCTTCCGCCTGCATATCAATTCATTAGCGAAATTTAAACATTTCTAAGGGGGTCAATTCTCTAGGTACTGCTCTGGCCGTGCGCAATTCGAGTATATCAAAATTTCAAAGATCTTTTTTTTAAATGAATTTCTAAGCGAGACTTTTTGCCATCGATCGAGACTTTTGTTTACGGTCTTCTGTTGCATCATTCTGCGCCGTAAATCGTGCGAGGCATTCGACGACCAGAATCCACGGAAGCAAAAAGCAACGGAATGGAAATTCTGAACCCACCAGGACGGGAACGGGGGGCCGGCTCCCCTCGTCTTCCCTCGAGGCACTCCTCTCCTCTTCCCCCCTCTCCAAGAAGGATTCGGCGAAGGGCTCCTGCACGAGAGAGAGAAAGGGGGCACGTGATTCATCCCGGGGGGACGTCGATCCCTTCACCTGGACCGCAGATCCAAGCTTTGCTCGTTCGACGAATGGGCAAAGCGAAAAGAAACTCCCGATTCCCAATACATCCCAACGGGTGCAATTATAACGAAAAGAGAGGACGAACCGAACGGCTTTTTGGCGTCGCGGCTCGCCGGGTTTCCCGAAGGCGACCTCAACGAAGGAGAAAAAACATCTCATTACGAGGTTCCATGCGAATACGCGCGCGGAACCGACCTCGGCGAGGCGGAGAGCTTCCGCGATGGAAGGCCTCACGGTCGATTAACCTCATGCAAAGTTGGAATCTCAGCCGAGCAGACTGCTTGGATCCAGGAAGCGATCCGATCCGAGGAGATAACGGGTTTCCACGGATTTCCAATTAGGGTTACATTCAGTCAAATTCGCGAAATATAATTAATTTTCTATATATATTCGAGCGAGTTCCCCCCACCATCTTCTGCCTTCTCGAGGGCGAGCCGTAATTATGGTATTCGATGGGAACATCGTTTCGCCTGAGTTGCCTCAGCCATCTGGCTACGTCTAAGCCAGCTCGATCGTACGACCCCGAAGCGACGGACCCTTCGACCCCGTGCGATCTCGATCGTCTCCGGAGCGAACGGATCTTCCCTAGGTCTTTGTCGAGGCTTCGTTTGTCGTCGTGGTTAATAATAATAATAACAATAGTAACATCCCAAACATGTTTAAATCTGAAGGATCGACCTGATATTCGCAGCCTAAAACCGCGAAGTTACCATATTGCAAAAAAAAAAATTTGCAGATCAAAGAGTTTCTGCAGGGAAGAACCACGAAAAATTCCCTTGAAGTTCCCTAAATAAATAAAAAAATATGCACCTCGGTCATTCCGCGCTGGGAAATACCTCGTTGTGAACCCAGAACGACCGAACATTTCCGAAATAACTTAATCTCTCGTGTTTCCCATCGTGAATTAATCAATACGAACCCGAAGACGCGGAGAATATTATGCGAAAATTTGCGAAAGCCATTTCGCGAATTCGTATACGCCCCCATCTTTGCTTTTTTTTTCTCTGTCCGTTGGCAAATTACCGTCGATTGTCGATGACGACTCGAATCTCCGAATCCTATTATCGGTAAGGATAAGAATAATCAGCTCGCAGAGTATAATTTTTCCTCCTTTTTTCAAAAGAGATTTTGTTATTTAAAATATTAAAAAATACATATTAGGTCATCCCATAAGTAATGCGGTTTTTTTGCATAGCCAAACTTGTGTCTTGTTTATACGTGTATCTGTACACATCTCATGGAATATTTATATGCTAACTTGTGTAGATGTTAGTCTTCAGTCTACGTGTAGGTTTTAACGAGTTAACAGCGCTCCTTTTTTCTTAGACGTTAAAAACAAGATGGAGGTGTCAGAGGAACACATTAGGCATATAATGCTTTATGAATTTAAGAAAGGGAATAACGCGATTGCAGCCACGAAAAATGACGTTAAAAACAAGATGGAGATGTCAGAGGAACACATTAGGCATATAATGCTTTATGAATTTAAGAAAGGGAATAACGTGACTGCAGCCATGAAAAACATTCAAGATGTTATTGGTGGGGAAGCTCTAAATGTGAGGAAATGCCAACAGTGGTTCCAGAAATTCAGGTCTGGTGACTACAGCTTAGCCGATGAAGCGCGTTCAGGCCGACCCGTTGAGTTCGATGATGACCTGCTGATAGTCACATTTGAAGAAGATCAAGCTGTAACTGTCGAAGAACTTGTCGAGAAACTCATTTCGACCCATTCCACCGTTCATTGCCGCTGGGAAAAGTGTCAAAACTGTGGAAAGTGGGTTCCGCATGTGTTATCACCAGGCAATCTGTGTTATCACCATGTGTATCACCAGATCGGTTAAACATTTGCTCTTCACTGCATTCTCGTGAACTTCAAGCGCGTTTTTGAATTGACTCATTAACAGGATCTTCTTCAAGTGTGGCTATCAGCAGGTCATCATCGAACTCAACGAGTCGGCCTGAACGCGCTTCATCGGCTAAGCTGTAGTCACCAGACCTGAATTTCTGGAACCACCGTTGGCATTTCCTCGCATTTAGAGCTTCCCTATCGATAATATCTTGAATGTTTTTCGTGGCTGCAATCGCGTTATTCCCTTTCTTAAATTCATAAAGCATTATATCCCTAATGTGTTCCTCTGACACTTCCATCTTGTTTTTAACGTCTAAGAAA